TTTTATTATATATATATTCATATCCTGGTGTCTGTTTCCAGGCGTAGCGATGGTGGCGCCCCTGGCTGTGGCACTGTTGTTAAACTACACTCTCTTCATCATGACCATCGTACGTATACAGCGAGTGCGCTCCCTGCAGACTGGCAAAGGGTTCCGCTCAGAAGAACGACGCCTCTTCTGGATCTATGTCAAATTGTCTTCCGTCACTGGGGCTTTCTGGGCCCTAGCCATCTTAGCTGAGGTGCTGGACAATGACCCACTTAGGTAACATATATACGGTTCTTTGAGAAATGTCTGTTATAACAAGAAAAGATTGGGTACTTTAGTGTACATCATCACCATCCTCATCAGCCTTTTTTACCTTGTGTCAGAGTACTGGCCAGCTACAAGAGCTCTCCATACATTATACAAACATGTACTTCTGCAGTCCTGGGCTATTGTCTCCACCTTTGTTCAGCTACTTTGTGGCGTCGGTGGCCTAGTGGTTAGGCTCACGGACTGTGTGTGTGTGTGTGTGTGTGTGTGTGTGTGTGTGTGTGTGTGTGTGTGTGTGTTTTATTATTTATAATAAGGATATGTTTATGTAGCTCTCCGTGGTTTTCTTATATATCCTCAGATTGACAACCTCACACTTCAAACTACCAATTACAGCGTTGTTCGGTGTGGTGTGATTGTAGCTTCAACATCCGGTCCTTCTGATCAGGTCCTAGGAGCTCATGTAACCGGAAGAGATCAGATTCCTTTGTTCTGGGTTGACGTATACCTCATCTCTGCACTGGAAATGTCCCGTGATGAGGCGGAACACGTGCTTATCCAAACTTTCTTTCCCAAGACTCTTGGAGCCAGCTTTGGAGAAAGAAAGCTGAAGCTCACGCCCTTACGTATTCCGTCTGCTCTCATAGTAGATATGTCCTTGTGTGTAAACACGACAAACGATTATGGTCACGAGAAATCATCTTGCTACCAGGAAGACTCGATAAACCTCAGAGACGAATACTCCGTTGAAGCGTATTCGCTTTCATACGATATGAAAAGTTTCGTAGAACTTTCCCCTCTGCTCAATTGTCCTTTCGTCAAGTTCAACTCGTCAGACTTCACCTCTGAGAAGGACAGCGGGGGAACTACAGCGCAAGTCACTCTGACTTTAAACGAAACTGAGCTGACTTTCGGAGAACCGTATTATCTAAATCGCTTGTCGGTGGAAATGGGTGGTTCTCTAATCGTGTGCGTGGAAGCGCTAGAGGAGAAGCTCTCATCTTTGGCACGTCAGACAGGATCCAGTACGTCACTTATGGATGTCGTCAAGTTCCTGTTGACTCTGTGCCTAGTAGGCGTGTCTCTGCTTTGTCTCCTAGCCACGATTGCTACATACTCTCTGTTCTCAGTTCTGCGGAGTTCTGCGGGTTGGAACAACTTGCTCCTATGCGTCAGTCTCACTGCGGCTCAAAGCTCGCTCCTGGCTTCAGCCATGCTGTAAGACACCCCCCCCCTTCCTGGCCCCATTTAGAAAAAATAATCAAATGCATTTTTTAAAACTTTTGCATAGTTCAAACGAGGCAGGGGTAGGCCCAGAACAACATACTTAGGGGACCTAAACAAATGGGTAACTGGGAAGGATCAGGGAAACGTAGCTTTTTTTAGAGCATCCGAGCAAAGGAATGAATGGAGAACCATGATCGCCGATGTCTGTCGCAGATCTGGCACTGGATGATGATGATAGTTCAATATTCTGTCTCTCGGAGTAAACAATGAATACTCAAAATATCATTTATTCATTGTATTCGCTCCTCCACCTTTTGGATCAAATTTGTATGGAAGGACATCAAATAGATCCCCTAGTAATGCACAACACCTCTAGCACATTAAACACGACACCAACATTAATCTGTGCCCAGACGCCCAAATAAGGCAAGGACTATTTTGTTCTAATGGTGTCCCTTCTTCTTTCTCTCATTCTCTTTTCTTTCCTCTTACCACTGAACAAAACGCCACCTTCTTTCCTATACAGAATATTTGATATAAGAATGTAGTGTTGCAAATGTTTCTATACAAAGCATATTTTATATCTAGTAAGATGTTATAGTCTTAGGAAAAATAGTTTAAAATGCCAATTTCTAATTTTTATATACACGTACATACGCTCGTATATTGCCATGTATGTATCGATGGCTGGGCGCAAGAAGTGACTATATCCACTTTTAGTCGAAATGGAGTAATCGATATGGGTAGTGATATTTTAAGCCACTCTCTTGTCTACTTTGTAAATATCTACGCCGCTGCTTAGTTTGGTATCGAGATATTAACGTTTCTTTTTTTACTATGTTATAGTGATTTCAAAATTGTCAAAATTTCAAACTTGTTTTTCTCGAAACGGAAAAGTGGACATGGTCATTTCTTTCGCTCTGCTGTCGGTATGTCTGAGGAGTCCACGGGAAACGAGGACAAAGTCACACAATGGAAATTGCGTGGAAATCAATTTTTAAAACTTGCAAACTCAAAGTTTCAAGTCTATTCGACCATTTGTTTAAGCTTAGGCCTATACACGGTATTTTATTATTTTCTATTTCCCATTCACCTACAAAAAATATTTCATGACACGATGGAATTAGGCGCCTGTCAATTTTGGACGTATGGAGTTATTGACGTCATCTTAAAACTTGTTCATTTGCCTTGCTTTTGATGATAACAAAACTTTAGTAAGCTAAACTGAACGGACATGATGTTGTAATGTTGAGTCTACAGGGGTATAAAATTATACACTCATTAATTTCCGTCTTTAGGCCTTGTCTGTTATTCTAATGAACTTGTCAGTGGTACAGATCAGTTCTTGCCAACCTGGGCAATATCGCAAATTTACAATTGGGCGATTGTGTAATTTTGCTGGACGGTGAGTATCACCCTGGTAGTAACAGGTATTATTAAAATGTAACACCGCGCTTGGAAATGCATAGCCTATAAGCTTATTATACATGTATTATTATGTGTGCAGCTCGAAAATGTTAGCCTCTTATAGGAAGCCAAAGCAGGCTATTACATTCATGTAGATGGGTGGTACCAAAAATGTTATCCTCCTAAACTTAAATCTAGCAAAAGTGGGCTAAGACATTCATGAAAGTGGAACGTACTAAAATTGTTTTCCTCTTTAAACTTAAAAGTAGCAAAAAGTAGGCGCTGACTATGAAAAGGTTGACACGCCCTATACTAGGAGGAATATATCTACTTTACATTTCTTTTCTTTCAAGCAACGAGAAAGGAGTGATCTGCACCGTGGTGGGCGTGTCCACTCACTTCCTGTGGTTGGCCACGTTCTCTTGGTGTTTCATCTGCTGTCTGCACATGGAGCGAGTCTTCTCCGCCAAGACCCGAAACACTCACACCACGTCTGCTGAGTTACGTAACTCTGTTATGTTGAGAATCGCTTTTACGGTGCTACTTCCGGCCCTCGTCATTGCCATTGTGATTGTCGCCTCGTGGATGACGTCAGACGGGGATGATATTGGTTACGGACGCAGAAAGTGCTATCTTGATTCCGGATTTCTTGTAGGTCAGTAGGGTTTTTTTCTTTTTGTTTGTTTGTTTGTTTGTTTGTTTGTTTGTTTGTTTGTTGTTGCTTTTGTTTGTTTGTTTTTTGTTGTTGAGGGTTTTTTTGTTTGTTTCTTTATTTTGGTTTGGGGTTGTTTTTTGTTGTTGTTGTTTGTTTTTTTGTTTGGGGTTTGTTTTTGTTTGTTTATTTGTTGTTGTTTTTTTAGGGGGGGGGATGGAGGGAGGAGGGTCTGCTTGCATTTTTCAGTGTTTCTTTGGGGAGAGAGGGCTCTGGCATAGGCCTACTGATAGGTGAGAAAAATGTACTACGAGTATGTGAATAAGCTCCTTCGCGTATATATGGAATGTGTGTGTGTGTGTGTGTGTGTGTGTGTGTGTGTGTGTGTGTACACGTGGTGAAACACCAAACCAATGTGCCAGGATCTGTACTATAAAGATGTATCTTATCTTTCTTATCTTATCTTCTCCCCCAGGCGTATTGAGGCTGTATGTGATCAAACTGATTTCTGAGGTTTCCTGACTTCTGTTTTCGGCAATATAAATATAAACACACAAATGAATATGTGTATTATTATTATTATTATTATTTTATTTTTATTACTATCATAATTGTTATTGTTATTATTGTTGTTATTTATTATTATTATTATTTAAAGTTATTGTTATTGTTGTTGTTGGTGGTACGTTGTTGTTGTAGTTGTTATTGTTGGTGGTTGTGGTGGCCGCGGTAGTGTCATTCATTGTTGTTATTATTGTAGACACTTGTTCTGATGATGGTAAGAGTGTTGTCATTGTCACTGTTGGTGGTGGTGGTGGCCATGAAGGGGTCGTTGTTGTCGTCGCTCTTGCATTTTGTTTTGGTAAGTGTTTTACGGCGCTCGCAGTTGCATAAGGTCATAATAATATGAGTGCGCAGGACATATTAAATATTTTCACTTGCGTAAGAATTGATTATGAATTTTGCCTTGACGGCAACCGAAGCCTACTTTTATCTATGTTGAACCATCAAGAGATCTTTAAGTGTGCAACTTTTTCGCCCTAATCCGAGGAGGCTAGGCTTACCTACCGTAACATCTGGGGCGTGGATGAAAGACAGCAGTAAGGAGCCAAGTAATAACAATGAAAAGGCTACACAAAGAGTAAAGAGCCCAGAGGAA